CAGCATGGGCAAAAAAAAAGCAGTGTCACATCAACTTCTACAACGCCTGATATATTTTTTAAAAGTTTTGCATATGTAATCAAAATGATGAAAGATAAAAAAGGACTCTCACTAAGGTGAGAAGAGGTTAAATTAGTGTCTTAGATTTATAGCAGATAACATCATCTCTTTTTAAGGCTTAAGCTTTTTGTAGGACTGCAGAGATAATGCCAAACTTCTCAGCACAAATATAAGATGTTTAAGTATGCTGTTGTTTTTTACAGTCATATGATGCTCTTCATTGGTCTAAAATAAATATGTTTTAAAAGGGTCATCCAGTCTCAGATGACCTGATTCACCTGCAGCCCCTAAGAAAATATTTGCAGTTTCTAACCTTACAACCTCATTGCCCAAATCTAGCAACAAACCACTAAAAGCCCTTCAAAATAGGTGTTGCTTGGTTGTCTTAAAGGGGTTTTCAGAGTTTGCTACTGAAATCTGGTGACAAAGCAGAAAAAAAATCTCTTCAAAACTTGCTTTGTGGCTTCCCTTGTTTGCTGCCAAACTACAGTGGTAGAGTGGTGATGGATTTTCTCATAGGTCTTTCTGGATTGACATAGACTCTCAGATCTCATAGTTACCAATCTCCAGGGATGGGGACTTAAGTCGTGAGACTTGCTTTTGAGGTGGACTTATAAGTCGCACTGGTAACTTGACTTGGCTTGGGTTATTTTTTAATGACTGAGACTTAACTCAAGAACCAATTTTTCCAAATCACATCTTTGAGCCCCTGGGTAACTTGACTTGGCTTGGGTTATTTTTTTAATGACTCAGACTTAACTCGCAACCAGAACCAATTTTTCCAAATCAGATTTTGAGCCCCTGTTCTATTAACAAAGGACACCATAAGCCTGGAAGAAGCTTTGCAATACTCATCAGAAGATGCAGAAACGGTAGGCAAATTGCAGCAAACAATGGAGGAGGCGATAATGATGGTGAGGGAGGATTTTTGAGAGGGTGGAAGGGTGAGGGAAGGTGAGGCAGGCTCAATATTGTTTTTGTATTAGCTACGACTGAGCATGAGGGGTGGGGGGCAGGGGGCAGGAAGGAGCAATATATATACAACTTTACTAATAGAGACTTGGATTTGGGACTTGAGACTCGGGACTTGGTAACAAGGAATCAGACTTGGGACTTGGTACCAAAGACTTGGATTTGGACTTAGACCCAAAGACTTGCCAACACCCCTGCGCATCCCTAATTCATATCATAAGCAAGCACAATGGAAAGTGTTTCTATTCTATCCAAAGCAGAAAACGGTTAAAAAAAATCTATGGAGAGAATCCAGCCAAAGCTAAGAACTTCTAAAACTTGGTCGTTTCACAGGGACATGGTTGGGCACATGCTTAACTCTCCCACTGAAGTCAAAGGCCATTAAGTTTTAGCTGACAATGTCCTTGCTTCCTACTTTATTGCAGTTAATATTAAATGCAACTTTTATAATACTATTTTGTGGGGTTAAATTAAAAATACACAGCCAGCTGCAGTCAGATACAAGAGTTGGTGGTCCTTTATGGAGACTGACAGAAGCAGAAACATTTTGCTTAGATACTTCTGTTTGTTAGTCACTCTCATTAAGTGGAGCCGGAGAGAGTCAGAGAATGATATAACTATGCTCATCTAGGTCTTTGGGGGTGTTCTTTATATGCAAATCTCCATCTACCTCCACCAGCTCTTGTAATCTGAGTATATACAGATCTAGATGTTTGTTTACAGTTACTTCATATATGTAAACCTGCATTGCCATGGACATCATTACCATTCTTAGATGGTGAATCAGTGACCTCCAGATGTGTTTTACCAAAACTCCCATCAGCAAGGCAGGCTGGGAATTAGATAGTCAAAAACATCTGGAAGCCCCCAAGGTGAGGTTAGCGAGTCTAACTCATATCTGAAGGATTCTCATGGAGGGATGGCTGCCACTGACTTCGGTGCAACTTCAAATTGTTTACTGGAGCTAGCAGAAGTGGAAGCATAAGCCTTTCCAGAATTTTGACCCCCTGAACTCTTGCAGTGATTAGAAATCCTTGCCGTTGTTATATTTTGCTATTCTTTGTCATTATGACACATTGCTTCCCAAGCAAAGCAAGAGGATGGCATGTCCTTCTCTGACCATCATAACATTTATCCTTCCCCAGCAACATTTATCAGATGGAAGGGGACCCCTGTAATTTAACTGTAATTTAAAATGTGTATGTTCACATGTACATGTATGGTTATGTGCACACGTACAGAAATGCTACAGAAGAACTAGGCTATTGCTTTGAGGTCCTCTTGTGATTTTTTGTTTTTGTTCAAAAGGTAAAGTAAGTGATTTTCTTTTTTTTTAAAAAAATTGTATTCCTGTTACCGATTGTTAATATTTAAATACAATAACAATTATGGACCTTTGTTCCCAGCGTCACTGTCTCATTGTAACTTTGGCACCTGTTGTGAAGAAAGAAGGTTTAATAAATAAAGGAAAGGAAACTCAGAACTGAACTGTAATAAATAATAGTCATCATAATAACTTAAATCTCAATAAATATTTGCTCTAGATTTGTCTCTGACTGGATGCATTGCATCAAGTAGTCTCTGTTCATTCATGACAATCCCAGATAGAAATGTAGTTAATTAACTGATCTTAGTCCTTTTGCATACGAAATAAAATAAAACACATCCATATTTTTATGGTGTAGCTCAGGCAGGAACAAGTGATTAAAAACACGACACATCTTCAAAAAGAGCCAGAAAGGTGAACAAAACTTCCTCTCCCTCTTTTGCTCTCAGAATACCAAACACTTCATAGTTCAATTCTTGTTGCAACAAACCAACAAACCAGCTCCTTTTGTAATACTTTGGTGAGGAATGGTTTTCAGGGCTGTGTGGATCTTTTGCTAGCTTATCGAAACCACTGTTTGACGTGTCCCCTGTATACTAAAAATATTTTTGCTAACATCTTACGCTGGGTACTCATGTTACTCCAGTGGGGTGAGAGCCTCTGAAGTGCCACTACTTCCTGTCCCAACAGGTAACACAAGAAGCTTGCGTACCATGTCGGAGAAGTTTACGTTTGGCCCCTCTCCAAACCAAGGTTAAACCAATTTTCTGAAGATTTTCCTTCCCGTGTGAGTTTCTTCTATATGGTCTGAGGTTTCTTTCCTTCCTCTGGCAGTGTGGGAAACAGAATTTTTCAAAATGTTATCCTTAGGGGCTCAGCAAGGGTGAGACGTTTGTAGCCCATGGGCCTCATGTGACCGCCAAGACTTTTACAGTCCCAAGCTCCCTGCTTGACTTTCTCATGTCACACATACAAACCCCAACTGGGGAAAGCAAGTGAAGGGGCAGAAACCAAACCAAACCCTGTTGCTGTTCTACTCCCAGAATCATCTGGTTTGGGCCTTATAACAACATGGAACCCCAACTTTCTCTTGTTTTGCTCAATTCTCCTCCCCAAAAAGGTCTTTTAAAAAAAAACTAGAAGTAGACTTCCATGTACTTCCCTTTCTGTGATGTGTGGTTAACGTAGCTTTCAATGTGTCTGTGGTCTTAAAATTGGTAAAAATCTTCTAGACTCTGCTTGCCTCTCAGGTGCAGGAAGAAGTGATGCTGCAGTGGCTCTTCTGTCACTAGGGTAAGCTGAGTACTGGGCCTAAATGGTGCATTCTGACAGAAACATTTAAATCACTGGCTTTCATTCCATGGCTTCCTTAGAATTTTATCAAGGGATTCCCAATTATAATAATAAAAATATAGTAATGATAGACAAGTTCACCAGGAGAGCAGTTTGCCCAACAATATCAATTTTAAATACTCAGCATTACCAATTTTTTAAAAAATGCACAGCCATAGAAAAGTACTGAGTTTATTCTAAAATACATGCTCAATTTTTAGGCGGTGACCCGGGCTGGCTAGTTAGCTCCATGGGTCAGAGCACCCAGAGGTTGGGGGTTTGATTCCCCATCTTCCCTCCCAGGAGAAAAGCCAACCTGGAAGGCCTGGGGCACAGTCCCAGACCACCATCAAAAAAAGAAGACTGGTAAATTATTTCTTGAGACTTTATACTTAGAAACTCCTTGGAAGGGACACCCTAAATCAGAATCAACATGATTGCATGTAATTAAATTAAATTTATGAGGTTACTCAAGAAGGCCCAACTCACCTATGCAGTGATTTCGGTGAACTGAGAGTACACCCTAGAATATGCCCCATGTATTTATTTAAATGTCTCTATATTCCACATTTCCACCCCATACAGGTGCCTAAGGACGGCTCACAGAGAAGCGTCCAATGAACAAAGTTACCTGGAGAACAAATTGATACGACTCCTGAGACACTGTGGTTCAGATAACCACAACTCAGGGGAGACACTTGTATTTATTTTTGTGTCTAGAAGCTTCAATGAAGCCAACATTTTTCCATTCTTCTCCAACAATGCATTATTCGCCTCCTTCAAAGAAGATACCCCTGTAGCTGGTGCTGCCTTTCCTGCTAGCTTGTTATTTAATTTCTTTCCATGTTCCTGCCTGCTCTGCCCCTCAGGTCTGTTACCAACAGTAAATGCCCCAGTGGTAAGTGCTAGATATTGCATCTGTTCAAATGATAGCATTCCTAAGGGTAGGTCTGGTTGGGACAAATCCACATGCCTGAGTGGAACAGATAGTCAACAAAGATGGCTCTGGTAGGAATAGTAGGAAAGAAGGCAATTACGCCTTCTTGTCCTTCTTCAGACCAATGCCATATTCCCTCCCAGTTTAGCCATGTTACTGACACATTGTGGTCTCCCTGCCCATAAATAACAAAAAAAAAACACCTTAAATTATCACTGTTCATCCTCTGTGAAATGTGAAGGTCACACTACACCTACACTTTTTGAGGTTGAGGCCAGTCACAGCTGACTGTTACTTCCAATTCTGTAACTGGGAAAACACAGAGTGAAGGAAGCGATCAAATAGAGGTTGTGCTGTTAAGCATCTGCCTGGACAACCTTCACCAGCAGTGGATCACCTCACTGCAAATCGTGTAAAGTAACCTTCATTCAGCCTGGATCTCTGCCCCTGAGCATCGATGTCTATTTGCTTTCCTGTAGAAACAAAAGAACTCCATCCCTCTTATCTTCTCCAATGATCCTGTGTGGGATTCGAACCAACCAGGATTCCACCACGCTCATTCTCCCATGTGCTTGGTCCTCTTCCTTCGTTTGAAGCCCTCATTCTCTCTCCTTGGGAGCCTTTGTCACTTCTTGGCCACTGTAGCAGGAATGCAATATCACAGCAGTGTCCAAACACAAAAGGACATCATCAGACACATCCACATTTTTTAGCGGAATGTTTTCTCAGTATATGGTAAGTTGACAGGTTATCGTCCAAAAACGAAAGGTCATCGTCAAAGGCAATGGGCCTGCAACAAGGCTGTGGTCTGATTTTGTCACTGACCAACTTTCTATTTTGGGTTAAATTATTTAATATTTGGTCATACAGGGTCACGGATTTCTCACAGGATCCACTACAGTAACGAAAAATGAGTTCTTCTTTGGTTTTGTATCCCAAACCCAAGTCAGTCACATTTAGATGTATCTCACTTAAGACACAATCTTGATTTCTGCCCCTTTGACCTCTTCGTCCTTTTCTGTTGCTGGAATTATTATTTTTTGCTGCATTTTGCCGGTTTCGTTCTCGTTTGGTTAAAAATGGAGCAGGTTTGTCCGGTGACCTCTTCAGTCTTTTTACAGTGGCTTGAATAAAATCCAGCAGGTCACCAAGCTGACTGGGATAATCCCCAGGCATATTAGCTGTTTTGAAAAAAACAGACAGAAAATGTTTATTTATTTACTGATGTGATTTCTATGCAAATTCCTACTTCTAATATCTTAAAGTTGTCTAAAAATCCCCTCCCCTCAGAAATACTTCAGTATATTTAAAACAGCTTTAAATGTTTAGATAGCCCATTGTAAAGACTTAGGATGTCAATTATAACCATTTAGCACTGTCAAATTAAGTTATCCTAGTAATACTTTTAATACTTCAGGTTTATGCTTATGGAGAGTTATTTATTTATTTAAAATACTTATATTCCACTTTTCTCCTAAGAAGGACCTAAGGCTGCTTGCAGTATTAAAAAGAAACAACATTAAAAGATAAAAAGCAATAAATTATTATAATATTTAAGATGATTTAAACAAATACAGTATATTAAAAATAGTAGTTAAAAAGTGCTAAAAACACATTTAAAGCAACACATTCAGATTTACCAGAATCTGCAATTATCAAAGGTTTTTTTTCCTTTTCTCCAAAGCTTTCTTCTTTCTGTCTTTAAAAAAAGGCCACTACAAAGGCTATAAAAGGTACTGCAAAGAACTGACATTTGTAGTTGAAATATGAGATCAGTTTGGTCCAACAATGTCTCCTACGTTAAAAATTTCCCTATTAAATAGTGAATATTCCCAATCCAAACTAGACTGGCCAGTTTTAGTGGCTACATGAATGATCAAACTCTGTATCACTAGTATCAATGAGTCACTACTGAACAGTCTGGAAGGTTACTTCTTTGAACCAGAATTCCAAGGATGCCTAGACAGTCATGCTAAGAATTACAATCCAAAAAAGTAATTGTTCCATATTATGCTCTTGAAAAAGGGATGAACATAGCTAGTTCCAATCTGTGTCACATTCATATATTTTTGTCCATCTGTCCATTGGATTTTCCCACTTTTATAAAATTTTCAAAATCTATATTTAAAATAGATTTTTGGTGTAAGTACACATTTGGTGTAAGGACTCCTCCTGTCATCCCTAAACTACAATCCCATTTAACATGTAAAATGTGAGGGTTAGCTATGCTCAAATCTGCTTCTTGGTCTAAGAGGTAAGGATCAATTCATTTCAAGCAGGACTCCTTAAAGCTCAAAATTCTTCTTCTTAATTCTGAATGCATTATCCCTGTTAACCAACATTGATTGGGAGGGTGCAGTTCCTCCACTGCTCTCAGTGTAATTGCTAAAATGATTGTGCCTCTACCACTCATTTCTACAAAGCCTGTGAAGGAGAACTCTATGATGGATTCTACCATCAATAAATACCCTTGGTCCCCCCCTTCCCTGCTCAGGAAAATTAGATGTTTTTCAACAGCTGACCTTTGTAAACATGAGCAATCATTGCTAATTGCTTTAGCCTTTTTATAATCTTTTTCCTACGACATGGCTTGAAACAGGAAATTCAATTTATTTATTTGTTATTAAATGTATATCCTGAAATAGAAAATTTCCTAGCAAACGTGAAGGGCTTTCTTGATTTGTTTAAGGATAAAAAGTTGCCAGATTGAAGGATTTGATGGCTAAAATGAGTTCGAAGGATCAGATTATAGCTAAACTTCAAACTAATAAATTATCGTGGTACTATTATATCCAATTAGACAGATGGACTAATGAATGGTTTATGATTAATGGCAAACGTAGAGAATATACTAAGTATGAACAATTTATATCATCACATGAAGACATGCAGAAGGATGCTTTGAAGAAGGGAGTAGTAAGTAAAATTTATAACCTAATTTTGGATCAGGAGGAAAATGAGATTGAAATAGAAGGATTAAAATCAATTTGGGAACATGATTTAAAGACAGAAATTAGAACAGAGGATTGGATAAAAATTTGGAAGATAAGAGTTCTAAGATTAATGTCGGTAAGAATAAAGGAGAATTTTTAAAAAACTAGTTTAAGGTGGTACATGACTCTGGTGAAATTGAACATAATAAATTCAGACTATTCTAAAGCCTGTTGGAAATGTGATGGAGAAACTGGCACATATTATCCTATGTGGTGGGAGTGTAAATTGATTCAGAAATTTTGGGAATTGATTTTTAAGGAAATATGTGATATATTTGGAAACGATACTGAATTTAACTCAAAAATTGCTTTGCTGTCATTTTTTTTGATAAGACAGAACCTGATGATTACTCAAAGGAATTGATTCCTAATTTTATGACAAGTGCTAGATTATTAATAACTAGATACTGGAAAGACAAACATGATATGAAATTAGAAGATTGGTATAGCGAAGTATGGACATTGTGTTACATGACAAATTGACTACTGAACTAAAGATGAAAAGAGGGGAAATAAGTCTGAATATTTTTATGCTATTTGGGGTAGATTTATTGAATTTGTTTTAGTGAAAGGAAAAGGGAAAGCCTTTAAGCAACAATCAACACAATTTGGGAAAAGAGGTTCGTAATAAAGGAATTATAAAGGGGAAAGCCTTTAAGCAACAATCAACACACTTTGGGAAAAGAGATTCGTAATAAAGGAATTACTCCAAAGGGTCCCATGGGTATGGGGTGCACTGGGTTTTAGATTGTTAGTATTTTGTATTAGACAGATGGACTAATGAATGAAGAGCCTGAAATGAAGAGCCCGAAAAACCCACAACAACCATCAGTATTTTGTATTGTTTTGTATTGATGTACTTGTTTTGGAAAATAAAAATAAAAAATAAAAATAAATGTATATCCTCACCTTGCCACAACTGAAAAAGATACACAAGGCAGCTAACAAGGTCAAAATAAAAATAAAGCTTTATTCAAATGAACTTAACAATAAAAACACAACATTAAAATAGGAAACCATCAGGGAAACAGCCAAAGAGTTGATTCATCAAATAGTAGCTGAAATTCCAAGGTCTTCCAACTAAAAATGGTTTGATCAGCAGCAGCAGAGCTAAAAAGGATAAAGCAACTAAACGTCTCTTGCCATAGAGTTCCAGGGGCTGGAAAGAGCCACAGAGAAGGTCCCTTCCCACATTCCATATCATACAGGACTTCACAGGCTGCGGCCAATACCTGGAATTATGATTGGGCAGTGCACAGCTGTCTTAACAAGGAAGTCACATGCTCTTTGTAACTGGTTCCAGTCCACAGACTGGCTGCAGCATGCTGGATCAGTTGACATTTCTGAAAACTAAGTAAGCTGCAAACCTGTGAGCAGATGCTTCTGTTATTATGGGCCTCCTTTCGGGAATTGAGCTTATTGGAAAGGAATTCAAGTCCACCTGTCTGCGTGCTGAAATGTGGACAGGACTTTAACAATTAAAATACCATCTCAAATTAAAATAGGGCTTTCTAACAAAATATGGGAGGCTTCCGTGAAATGGAAACCCATGAGCAGCATTCATTAACGAAATACAACAACAAAGATGCCAAGGTCAGATAATCTTAAATGATTAATGGATGCTCTAGTTCCTTACTTGTCAAACGAGAAAAGAGAGGCAGAAAAGCAATTGTTCCAAGAAACTTAGAATTTCTGGAAAATCTGCCACTGCCACTGGTGTCCTCTCTGTGTGTCTTCTCAAGGTGAAATGTCCCAATATATTTGATTCCTGATCCACCTACTCAAGAAAGCTGCTGTGGCACAGTTGTTTTTTTAATTGTGGTTCCAGGGACATCCCTCTTTCATGAAATCTCAAATCAAGGTTTATCAAGTTAGAAGAGGAGCAACCAAGCGGTTGTTTGAAAATTCCAGACACAATTAATGCTGGTTGTCGTGAGTTTTTCGGGCTCTTTGGCCGTGTTCTTAAGTTTTTTCTTCCTAACGTTTCGCCAGTCTCCGGAGCACAGACAGAGCTCCGACTCCTGTCCTCTGAAGATGCCAGCCGCAGAGACCGGTGAAACGTTAGGAAGAAAAACCTTAAGAACACAACCAAACAGCCTGGAAAACTCACAACAACCATCGGATCCTGGCCATGAAAGCCTTTGAGAATACAATTAATGCTGTTATGTGTAGGGTTTATTAGTTTTATTAGGAATTTAATATGAAATTACTGATTTTACAACTTCAGATGAATTTGTAAATCAAAATATACATATCCATCAAAATTCACATTTATCCACATTTTGTAGTAGTAGTAAGTTCTCAAATAAAAAGCGTGTAAATGTTTCACATTTGGGAAGAGTGAAGACAAAATGGATGTGTTTGTTAAATGGACGGATGGATGGATAAATAAATAAATAAGGCAACAATTTTGTTTGCAAAAATTGTGCATATTAAGCAAAAATACATGCACATATTTGGAGACATGTATACAAAAATCTATGTGAACGTTAATGAGAATTTTAAAAAGAATTCTTAGAGTGCAAGACAAATTGAATGTAAAATTAGAACAAAACCAAACTAAAAATGGTTGAATTTTCATTCCCTTCTCTCATGTCGTTTGTGGTTCTACCTCTTATTTCTCGTGGTCTTCTGTTGAAATGGTCAACCAGCCTAAAATCTCAGTCAGTCACCTCCCAATACATGCTGATTGTGACAAAACTTGTCCACCATGTGCACTTTGAGAGCATCGCATAAGCTGAAATTCTGTTGGACTTGATGAAGCACAAAGATTCGCATGTGTAAGTTCACCAGGGTTTAGACCTAGGCAGTCTGTGTGTCTGACTCTACTAGTTGTGCAACAAAACACAAAACTAGTCATGCAACAAACTGCATAACTGACCATGCACTAACAGTGCAACTGATTGCACAGCAGTGCCTGCTTTCTTGATAAGACTTCTGCATTGGTGCAAATTTGCAGAACTTGAAGATATGCACAGCTACACAATAGGACTCTGGCTACTAAATAATTAATTTAAAAGTTCACGATCCCGCGTGATTGATTTTTTAAAAATAGAATTATTTAAACTATTCTATTACATGAATCTAGTCCTACCCAGGTCACATATGAAATCTAATGAGTGTGGAGTATTTATGATTGATGGGGGAAAGTCAAGAAAAGTGAGATAGACCAGAGTTTTCCTATTGTT